CCCCAAAACCCCAAAACCCCATAAAAGTATCTTTTAAAGATTATTTAGATTTTATCGCAATTTTACAAGATATTCCTGGCCTTTTATAACTATTAAATTGATTTTAAAATGTAAGACTTTGAAAAGAATGAATCTTTAAAGAGTAATGAAGAAACTCCTATCTTCAGAATAGAAATTTCTAACATAACTAATTAAACCAAATGCAATTGCAATCAAAGAATAAATGAAATCAATAATCAAGATAGACTCGCACAAATATAAATAGAAAAAGTTGGCTTAGATGGGAAATCTTATATCCATATAAGCCAAAAAGATTTAATAGATCATGAATTATCATTCGATATCACTAAATGCTAAGAAACAGAAGAATTAAAATAATACTTCTAAGTAGAAGTATTCCTCAAAGATATGGATGGAAATGCTACGATAAAAGGTGATTCTAAAGTTCAGATTGAAGATATAATACAATAAAAATATTCAAGGTCTACATTAAATGAAAATAAAAAGCAAGCAAATTTGATAGAATAATCAACTAATACAGAAGACTATGAGAGCCATCTTAATTAGAATGATCAAGTAACCTTCAGATTGAATTATAACAAAGCTATTCATATAGCTAATTTAGTTTTAAGTTCGTCTTGCCAGTAGGAGCAAATGCAATTACCTAGTATCTAAAATTTGAGAGAAGATATGAAAGTAATCAAAAAGGCTGCGGCTGATCTTTTACTCATTAAGTATTTTCAAGAATAGAAAAGATTATTTGATGAGATGATGAGTGATAATGATATCTAAATACCAACTTACGACTTGCTTGATAATAGCTTTGTAATATCACTTTAATATAATGAATTCATATAGGATTTAGAGTATGTCAAGTAAACTTTATCAGAAGATCTCAAAATTTAGGCAATTTATGATAAAAGAAAACTAAGCAGCAATAAAATTAAAAAGGTAAAATTTTACAATGATCCTCAGAAATATGACCTAGTGACTCTATAAACCTAGGTTACAAAATAAAAACTAAAAATAAAAGCTTTAAAAGCAATGAATGCTTAATTAAGTAAGCTTGTGAAAGCAAGACATAACGAATATAACTAGAATTTATGATTGATAGTAGTCTGATTAATATTAAATTTATTATCCTATTTAAGCTTAATTACTCTGATATTCAATATTAAAACATTTAGGGGTTTTGGGGTTTTGGGGTTTTGGGGTTTTGGGGTTTTGGGG